TAATGCGATGGCGGGTCACTATTAAAAATGGTGTCCCCCTCCCTTCACTAACGGGAAAAAAAAAAAAAAAAAAGAGTGAATGAGTTTAGAAAGTACCTATGCTTTGTCAGATTGTAAGACTAAATAGCCTCTTCTACCATAAACATGCATTTAAAAAGTCTTTGGAGCAGTGGTTCTTAACCTTTTTAGACTCGTTTCCCCTTACATCAAACTCAAAACACCCCTCCAAAATTGCCAGTTCTTAATTTATACTTGCCTTTTCGCTTTGTTGCTACAGAAAAAGAGAGTAATTCTTCTGTTGCAAAGAACTCAGAAAGACCATCACAGGTCAGAATGTTTTTGACACTATGGATTCCTGTCTGAAACTCTGGGTTGATCTTAGAATCACGTGTAGGTGTTTGCACACAACAGTGCTATTTTTATGAAGCACCCTGCAGCACTTACGGCATCCTGGTTAAGATGCATAATTTTGAAGCGGAAATCTTCCTGCTTATGCAGTTCTAGGTGCAGCCACGTTGGGAACCTCCCCACTAGCTGGTTGTGGTGGTGTGTGTTTCTGCATAACGATTGGATTTAAACAGACACTAAATGTACTGTATGCCCATCCAAGTGCTCACTTAAGTCCCAGCGTATTAAGAGAGTTCAGTCAAATTTATACAGATGTGAAACAAGAATACCACAAAGAGTTGAACCTTTGACAGTTCACAACAAATAAGCTTACCGTCAAATTCCAGATGGACTGTTCCTCTTTCAACAAGATCAAACAAGTCACAAAGCTCAATTTAAGATCAACTATAAGTTTGATAATCAGGCTCATTTTTTAGTCACTAAGGGATGAATTTATTTTAACTAGTACAAGACCAAAATGCAACCTGTGACAAATTCAGAGTTACCTGACTAAAGTGTAGAAGTGATTCTTTTACCCTGTTCTAGGCATAAAAGTGCCTCCATTATAGAGCAGGACTGCCCTCTGAAGATGCATGGGTATCTCCCTATTCCTGTAACAGCTGCACTTATGCTCCCAGAATGGATGAAGAGAATCGCATTTACATTTCAGTTGTATAACTGAGATGGTCCCAAGCTCCACTGTGGTCAACTAGGTAAAGTAGAACTCTAGCCAAGAGGAAGTGGAAGCTACTTCCCATTAATCTGTAATTACTGGCTCCTAAATGCACTTAAAAATACTGCATGGTTTCAAGAGTAGAGTCAATCTTGTGTAAGTCAACCCCACATTTTGAGGCTCAATTTTAGGGGAAAAAACAGCTCCCCCTATTCCCCCCCCAAATACACTGTAGTTACAGATTAAGTCCTCAAATGGCTACTGCCAAAAACAAATCACTATGGTCTGATAATCAGGGGGTCTGAACACTGGCTGACTTTATATTAAAAAAAAGTACAATTTTTATGCGTTGGGGGTGGGGAAAACAACAACAGAAGTCAGAAGAAGTCTAAGCAATGATCCTGAGATGCATCTACAGGTATGATGATTCACTTTTTAGACTGGAAGCTTCTTACAGGCTGCGCTTTCTTAAATGGCAAGAAAGCATAGTATGTGGTGGATGGTACAAAAAACACAAGCAGACATGAATGCTAGGTTGTTCTAATCCCCCTCCCTCCACACCATCTCAACATTTTGTGAAAATGATGGGCCTGTGAAACACAGAAACCATGGGACTGTTCCAAGGAAGAATGTAAACAGATGACACTTAAAATAGGCTCTAAATCTGGCATGTCATGTCTACTAGCAAATCTTTCAGACATGTTTTAAGTTGTGGGGGAGTTTTTATTTCAGAAAGTAGTGCTTTGAATTCATGCAAATTGTCGTCAAAAATCAAGTGCAAACTACAAGTTGACATTTTCCAGTGTGCCCTGAATAGATTCAGGGTGTGCCTTCAGTACAAGAGTTGAGAACCACTGCTCCAGTGCAAAGCTTAAGCAGCCAAGATTTAGCCCCATGAGAATTAAAAGATGATCTTCCAAGGAGTGTGTTCAGGGACACCACCTGCACTTCTTCCCACTGCTGGAGGTTCACAGGCTTGTTACTTGGGCACTGCTCGATAGTAGTGGGCTCCCTTCCAACTTCTGTATCTTCCTGTGGCCTGTTTAAACTTGCTGTTTATCAGGCATCCAACAACATTTTCAAGCCATATAACAGTGTAAGAAAGAAAATGTTAAGAAATAACAGAAGAGACAAACTACAAAGAGATGTGGTAGGAAGGGCTGGGAGGAGAAAATATTTAGGAAAGTATCAGAGGGTAAAGGGATAGGTGAGAACAGTAAGAAAACATCAAATAATTTAGAATATGGAATCTCCTCTATTACAGGAAGCAGAAAAAAGGCAGGAATTGAATAGTGAATGCAAGGGAAACAGTACGGTATTTAGCAAGATAGTTGGTAAGAATTAAAGCTTTTATTATAGTGTGTTATGTCAAGTCCCACCTCTAACTCCTTAGGCACCCAAAGTCCCAAACCTTGGGAAGAGAGTTTGGTCAAGTTCCAGTAATGGAAATTTCCGTTATGTAAACCAGAGCGTTTAAAAAAAATATTCAAAACCATACATTTTGAGAGTTTCTGAATGTGTACAGCTTCCAAAAGCAAGCATTTGGCTTAACTGCTAGTACAGCTATACTAGAAAAGGCCACCATGAAAATTTAAGGCAGAATAGAAAATACTGCTCAAATGGATGATAAAATTAGTCAGTCACCTTTATTAACTTACATTCACAACAGGAATGTTGGACGGCATACAGCCTACAAAACCAGCAGGTCCAAAATAGGACATTGTAAAGGAAACCAGACCAAATCATGCAATTTCAACTCAGCCTAAGCATCGAATTTGTGGTGAGTCTAAAGTTCACTGTATGCAACTAAGATGACTATACACCTAATGAAAGATCCAAGAAAGAACATCCTGTATGGGGAGAATGCGTCTGAGCTAACATTACTTTTGACGAGACAATGCCATCCTTTAATGCTACGAACACATTTTATGATCTACTAAATATTAAAAACAATTTATTTTTGGTGTATGGTTACAACTCGAGAGACAACCACTGCAAGCTACAACCCTACCCAAAGCCTTCATCTACAGGACTGCAAAGATCTTGTGCTAGAACCTCTTGTTACTGAGCTGTCTTTAGCACAAAACTAGGAAAACCAGAGCAAAAAGGTCAACCGGCTGTGGAAGGGGGGCTCCAGGCCTAGAATAATTCATAACAACATCAAATGTGGTTGCCCAAAATAATCCATTTGTCTTTTGCCAAAAGGCAACCTGCTCAAGGAGGAAGGGGGGCGATTTTTTTTTTTTCTTGCCAGCTCAGTGCAACCTACTCTGGGATTTTCAGGAGATAACCAGGTTTTGTCGCTACTTTGTGCCAAGCAAAATCTATCCCTTGTTTCAGTAATGTGTGTAGCTGAAGGCATTTTCCCAATTGATATTTCATAGTAATAAAATGCTGCATTTAAACAAGACTTTGATATATCAGTCAGAGGTTATTCTAGGCTTGGTTTATAGACTAGGAACATGAGTTTTAATGCTAACACAGCTTTTAGTTAGATTCAGAGCTAGAAGCATGTGGCCAATTTATCAAAAACATAATAAAGAACAGATTTAAGCTTTTCCTGAGAGGTGCAGGATGATGATTCACACATCATGGGGTCTTTCTTCCCTTATTTCAAAAGTCTACTTGAACTGAATTGGCTAGCTAGAACACCAGTTTCTATAGGAGGGAGCACACAAGGAAGTAATATAGCTAGCACGAGAGACAGCCACCGTTGACTCTCCAGTCTGAATAAAGAGGTATCTATCTGCAACTGGACTGACAGGAAGCAGCCTTCAAGATGTCTAGAGTAGGGTTCAAACTCAAGGTCATGTCTCTGGAGCTGCAGGAAGAGGTCTTACTTACTTTGCCACCATGCCTCAGCTTCTGCCCTATCACATGGCACAACTAAGGAACATGTGGATTAATTAATACATATTTAGCTTAGTATTCCAATTAATATTTCTAACATTAGCAAATCATGGTACATTTATTAGTTTTTGAAGCAATCCCTGGTCTGAGACTTTACCATTTTAAGTCTTGCCAATTACAACTGAATGTACGTTTAGAGCTAGACATGTGGTCTTCTGTAATGGGGCATCAACTACAGTCAGTCATTAGCAGTTAAGGATATCAGTAAAGTTAGAAGCTTTTTTCTATGGGAATAGAAGTTAATAAAAAAAACAAACCCTCAACTACTCCAAATGGGATAAGAGTGAAGTGTTGCACACCCCTTTCACTCCCCACCCAAGCAGTGTTAGCTGGGTAGACTGAAACTAAACAATGGGGAGTATAGACAGAGAAGAGCTATTACAAGTAGCGGTTATGAGCCTATTCAGGATTTACTCCTAGTGTCCTTGAAACTAAACATATGCACATAAACAACACATAATGGTCTGGAGGTTTGTTTTAACAGGCAGGATTTTTTATGTAGTCCACAAGTGCAAAAAAGGATGGAAAGAAAGAAAGAAAGAAACGAGGCTTATCTAAGCTATCACCACCTTCTCTAAAGAAAAGCCAACTCAGCTTTAAACATAAGACCTCTTCTTGGGTCTCAAAGACATTTATAACTTGATGTGGACCATATGATTTGTATGAGAATGAATGTCCACTAATAATTATTGCAGGAGGTTAGTATTTCAGATGTTAACTCACATTTGATTTGTGTATCTTCATTTACAAAATAAGATCATTGAACTCTGCTCTATTACTACTACATTACATGTGATCTTTGGTTCAATAACGTTTCATGTGCAGTATCCATTTTAGGTGATATGCTATACTGTGTATTCTTTTTGTTTCTTTAGAAGTTAATAATCTGCTCTAATTTGGCTTAACTATGTATTGTACTGGCTGTATAAGCACCTTTGACTGTTTCGTGCATCGTTTACCTGAATTTGGTGCTTTAGTTTGTATTTAAAGGAATTATACAAGTAATAATGCTCCAATTATATTGTTTACATGCACAACAGTATTCCAGGACTATTCAGAATGAACTATATTGGAAACCAGGTTATACAACTACTTCACACTAATAACAGTATTAACAATATTAATTCCGAATACACATCATTACTATTCTGTTTAGTGCAAAATGTATGTTATGTCTATTTTCTAAGCATCCACCAGAACACTTAGAAGGCATGCACAAGAGTCAGATAATTTTCTCAGTAATTTATTCATATCCTGAGTACCAGAGCACCAGAATAAGCTATACAGGAAATGCAGTACTTTGTTTAGTCTATGTAGTACTTTGTCCTAATCACTGCACTAGCCTTCAGTTAAGCAGCCTTGTCTGTAGAAGCAGCATTTTTTGTGGAGAGGTAGATCTCTCTCATCTCACAGCTGAAACACTGTGGCAGGATCCTCCAATTAAGGATGCTCAATGAAGACTATGTTGGACTAACAGACCCCACATATGAACAGAATAGGCCAGGGCTGATATTAATATATCATAATCAGAATAAGTCTTTATTTGGACTGTTCATTTGAGCCCATGAACATCCTTCAACTGATGTAAAGATTTCTACTGTTGTATTCCGATAGTAGTTGAATGTATTCACATATATCCCGAGCCAAAAATAATTTTCTAGTGCATTTTGAAAAGCATGTTTGTTTGGGGTTTTTTCCCCCCCATGTAAATGAAGTTGTCAGAACATAATCTCCTGCAGCTGCTTGTACCTAGTGCCCCTGAGGAATGGATAAGTCACTTTTCTATTGCATCATTCCTACCCATAGAAGACCATGTGGATATGGTGCTACAACAAGCTCATTAACTACCCAGAAGCCAACAGAAAATGAAACACAGCTAGAAGCTGTTACCACTTTAAATGTGCACCCCTGGAGAAGGAGTTCCAGCTCTGAAATGGACAGGAGCCATGACATAATCTCATGAGCTCCACTGCAGTCAGGAAACCAGGGCATGTCTGAAACACTTAAGACAATACAGAGACGGATAACTACCCTTGGAAAGGTCTGAAGGAAGGCTCTAGGGAAGGTAGCTTCTCCCGTCTCCATCTGAAAAAGTTAAAGGACGCTCCTTGTAAAACTTTCTGCTGCTTCACTGTAGGTCTGAGTAACAGATTATAAACAAAGATACATAAATGAATTGCAAGTTTCTAACAAGTTTGTATTTTCAATCTGTACTAAATACAGTCATTTTGCTTCAGCATAGACACAGTGTGAGAGCCATTTTAACTAGAGGTGTTTCTAGATCAGTTTTGTTTAGTTCCTGAAACACTCAAATGGATACTACAATGTTCAACAAAAGACAGTACTAATTAAAGCTGGTAGTTTAAAATCATCATCTATAAATACAATGCAATAAAGAAGAGAATGCTAAAATGTAATATTTTTATTTCAATATTAGTGTCAACTTTAAGTCTTTTTAAGTGTTAACTTAGCATGAGACTCACCATGCTTCTTAAAAAAACCCATCTGCCTCTATGCTCCACGCTCCCTCAAGGAAATGAAGCTAAACCATCTTCAATAAACTGTTCTGCCTCCTGACAGCATAGGATGCCAACACCATCTTTGCTAAGAGAAGCCCTCAGCCATAGTCCTACTGAGAACAAAAGAAAACCAACCATGTTGAAAGAGGGCAGCTTGTGGCACACGTCAGAGAATGCCAAGAAGCTTTTGCCAAGAAAGTTCACATTATTATATTCCTTTCCTTAAACCAACAGAGGACTTTGGCCACTTTTTCATTCCTTTCAGACTCCTAATTTACTGACAAAGGATCTGTTTGGACAGTATGTATATATACCATAAGGTTTTCCCAGTATCAGTAACAAAACTAAATTTTGCAACAAGTCTTATTCATCAGCTCTAAAGTAGAAACTTTACATAAAGGACATAAAAACTTTTTCCCCAAGTGGAGTCTATATTTTCCAGTCAAAAGTAAGTCTTGTACACAGTCTGCATTACTCTATTACAATGGAATACTAGCATGATACATTTCTTAAACTGAGTCTTATCTTGAAAGTGAATTTAACTAAGAAAGCACTCATCCATACTTGGAAGTGATAATTTGGGGGGGGACAATAGGCTTCACTTCTTATAAAAAGGTTGAATCCCCACTTTTAACTGCAACACTTAAGTACACCAGAAAAAAAACCCATAATTGATGCCTCTGTAATTAGGTCCACTGCAGTAGCATCAAGGAGGAAAAGGCAGATGTTAGAGAAGTTCATCACAAAATAGACATCTGTTCCATGAACAGCAAGTGATCCTGTCTGACTTTTTCATAAATCCAGGAACTATGCATGTCCATGCTTCTTATTCCCGAAAGAGAGAGTGAATCTTAGGGACATCTTGCAGATTGGGCAGAGAAGGAAAGGGAAAAAAAAAACAAACAAAAAAACAAATAAACAAGCAAGCTACAGAATTAGAATAGGGGCAGAAATTTCTTCCATTTTCCCTCCTGCTGAATAATGACTTTGTAAAACCTCAGTTATTTAATATTTAAAAAGTGATAATAACTTATACTATAGTTCCTTCAAACAGACGAGACCATATTGAAGAATCTGACCATCAATCCACCTCTATTTTTAATTTTATAAGTTTTTCTTTTTTTTCGAGTGAATAAAAAGAAAATGATAGTAGCCAATGGACACTGTCCATTAAGAGTGACCTTTAAAAATTATCACTAGGGATCCTGGCTTTCTCTGATAAAAAAAAAATAATCCCCAATTCTCAGTTTAAAAGAGTAACCTAAAATCCAATTTTTTCCATGATTAAAATGAAGTATCACTAATACAGAGATTTATATATAGTGGTGTTTCATTTTGATCACAAAAAAGTGTGGATTTTGGGTTACTTTTTTTAAACTGAAAATTGGGGATTTTTTTTTTTTTTAAATAAGAGAAAACCATGACCTTCGATTATCACCCATAATCTTTCCACTTTGAGAACACCCCACACCTTCTTTCTTCCACCTTTTTCTTTGGAATTTCTTAAAAAGGATGTGTCTGTTTCACTCTGAAGCTCAGTGCATTAACACCAGGCTGCCAGGTCTGGGTCACAAATGCTCAATATCAATGCTGATATTTTAAACAATTTAAAAACACAAGTGTTTCTTGAATTAAACTTCAGACTAGCTTAGTTGTAACCGCTTTCAAACCTTGCTGGACTGCAGAAGCTCTTACAGTAGTGGGAGCAATACACGATTCTAATAGGCTAAGAGAAAGCTAGTTTTGCAACTATGGCATTACAAAACTTAGTCGCTGAGGATTAATTAAATTCATTAAGTTACAATGGACAATGCTGGTTTGAAAGTCATTCTAGTTCAGAAATAAAACCTTAACTAGACAGAGCTTCCAACCAATATCCAAGACTGCGGAAGATTAATGCTTTCACTCTTTAGATTCTGATACCAAAGGAACTTCTTACTTCTAGGTCTTGTAATTGTTCTCTCAAGTACTATGATAGTACAGAAGTTAAAAAGGGAGGCTCCATACTTCAGATCTGTGATTTTTAAAAACCTACCAGGGCTAGAAACCAAAGCTTCACCAAATGATAGACAGGCCACGAACTCTAGTCTCAAATGTGCAAGAAAATAGAATTCAAGACTGAAACTTATGGCATGTACCTGGGATTTTGGGGAAGGGGGAAAGAGCAAGGGGGGGGGGGCGAAACTAGCATAGGACTGTCAAGACCCAGGTCAGTATATCTTTCACTAGACGCAATGTTTTAAAAAAAAAAAAAAAAAAATCTAATGTCTCCCATGACTTAAAGCAATGTGCTCCCCAGGTACTTCCCTATTGTCTGCTTCTTCCAGGTGCAACGTGAGCCTTGCAGCAGTTCTGAGCCAGCAGATGGCATTAACGTATCACATACCGACAAAATTGTATGCAACTTCTAATACATGTGCACCGATAAAGATTTTCTTGGACGATACTAACAGCTGATTATTAACCAGTCATATTGGCCGATACCAATCCAATAAACTGATTTACAGGAATGCAGCCAGGCAACGTGGACAGCCTCGCCCTGCAGCTAGGTCTGTGGAGGGGAAAGGACATGGGGGAGGAGGCAGAGGCCCCCACAATGAGGAAGAGAGTGGAGCAGGGGCTGGGGGTGCTGCCCAGCTTCAGCGATGAATGGGACCTGGGGCAAAGAATGGGACAGAGGTGTGGGAGGCTCATCTTGGGGATCAGCATACCAGCTCTTAAAAATGGAGGTGGGGGCGCTTCAACTAAGCTTGTCAAATGAGCTTTAGTTCATGCACCACCGCCACCATTTTTAAATGGGGGCATGCTTTTAAACGGAGCAGAGCCAAGTGGGGTGAACAGTCCACATCTGCCCTCACTGTGGACTCTGGGTTCTCCACCCTGCTGCCTTTGCCCC